ACTCGCTAAATATAGCGACAAAGTCACTAAGTTGGCAACACTGGTTCCAACAGATCTTTCATCATAAATAAAACAAAAACAAACTTGAAATTTGTGGTTTAGCTGTGTCAATAATCTCTACGTGTCAAACAAGTCGTTTCATCAGTATGAAACTTTCTGTCCAGTGATTGGTTCCAACTGGACCCAGTTACATTTATTTTCAAAAACGGATTTAATCCTGCAAGCTAATCATTCCCTTCCAGCATGACACAAACAGGTACTTAACATCTCTGTGCTCCACGTCTGTGCATTTTGGGTATTAAAACTTGGAAATCAACATGTCAGCACATGTGAGGGATGATGGAAACCTTGATGTGCGGGGAAGAAGCAGCAGCAGTGTGCTCCAGCGCTAATACTCGCAATCTGAGCCACATGACTGCCACAACAGGCTCCCGTATAATTCTTCTCATGCAGTCAAAAGCACTCCTAATATCCACAGGAATCTAAATGTGTTCATCAGTAGCAATCACCAGCCCCCTCTACAAAACACGCCTGATGATCTATGCTGATGATGTTTTCTAGTGCTTCATAACGCCCACATAGCCCATGGATGTGCCATGCCAGGGGGCCATAATAATGAGGTGATAACAACCCACATGTTTGTTAGAGCTGATGCTGCAGGTTGGCAAAGTCACAGCGAGCTCCACATCTACTCACACCTGTCTAGGCTCTCTGCCCCGACATGAGGGACACGAGGAGCAGCTGCTACAGGAAAGCGTATTCTTTACTGACGTTACTGTACTGATGCTGAAAGCACATCACTGCTTTCAGAGCTGTAACCTATGTGAAGTTATACCTTTAAATAAAACCGGTGTTGTTTTGTTAGCTTGGGATTGATTAGGAAGTCTTTTATTCATGCAAAGGGAGTGTCTGTCAACCAAGTCACTAGCAGAACCGTGACGATTACGATTGGGTTTTCTTTTAGCCATGTATACAGTCTTATACATTTTTGCATTAGTTTTCTGCTATGAGATGGCTAGTAGCCAAACCCTAACCCTACACGGGCCACCACCAGGGGGCAAGAAGCTGAAACATGATGCCAAAGTGGAAGTGGCAAAAACTATAATTAAGGCTGCTTCCAAAGTCAAACTCTGTAGACTCCAGTGTTAAAAAAAATGTCTATAGCACTCAAAAATGTATTTACAAAAAATAGTCTCAACCGCCACAAAAAACCTGAGTGGGCTTGTTGTTTTACCCATTTTTGTGGCTCACATTGACAGTTATCAGGACACTGGCAAACAAACTGGTAGAGCTAAGGTTGGATTTTAGCCTTATTTATAAGACGGTACCTTTAAAATGAAGACTTCTACACACACACACACACACACACACACACACACACACACACACACACATATATATATATGACTCAGGACAACAGAAAGCGTTTATAGTTTTCTTTTTGAGTCCATTTTAGAATCAGTCTACAGTCGAGCAGGAACGAATTAAGCACCAATCATGAAACAACTAGAGCACAGTCCCACGAGGCTGTTGTCTGCATCAAAGTAAAAGGGCTAGTTTTGCAGCTGATGATCTCAGATTGTTGTTCCAAGTGTCTGACAACATTATAGAAGAGATCCCTAGAGAGATACATCTCACATCAAACAGAAGCCTCACTCTGATATCTTGCTGGAGGAGCGTTTTTGCAGGAAGACAACAGGGTAAACATGACAGAGAGGAGAACAGGGAGTGGATCTTACTGGGACCTGAATGATTTAAGAAACAAATAATAGCACATTGTTTAATTGTGGCTACAAAATGATGCAGCACAGTGGGGGGAAGTTGCACTGACTACCTTTAGGAGATGCACTGAAGTTGGGGGTAGTGACACTCCTCACCGTGCTGCATAAACTGTGGAGTTTGGAACAACTTTGAATGGGATGATACTGAAAACAAGCAGAAAAAATCCAACTTTAGATTCAGTTTCCCTCGGGAGAAATGCCTAATTAAAAGCAAAGTGCTCTCAGGAAGGCCAAATAAAGCCTGTGTTTGAGTTCTTTCATGATTTTGTTGAACTTCCTGCTAAACATGAAGGTATAACAGGATGAAATCACAAACAATCACTCAGAAAATAAAACCCTGAACATGTTTGTGTAGATTTTATTTAAGCACTGCTGCACATACAAACTGTATTTCATAAAGAAACAGCTCCACATATTTTTGCTAAATAGTAATCACTCAAAGCCCAAAAGAGGGAATTTAGGATCCAGGTTGAACAAAAAAGAACTTTAATCCTCTGTTTAAACCCCTTTAAATCTTTCCATTCCTTTAAAATAACACGTCGCTGTTACCAAGACAAAAAACTTCCTTTATTCTTTATCATCCACTTCACTTAAGCTTCACAAGACAACAAATATATTCAGACTTTTCCACTGATGAATACTGAGGTGCATCTTCCATTGCAGAGGACAGAATAAAATAGTCAGAATGTCAGAAACTGATCTGAGAATGCCGAGGTGTTTAAAAATGAGAATTTCATCGTTTTCAAGTAACATAATTTAGAAATGTGTCTGCTGTGTGAGGTTTGCGCAGCCAAAATATGAGGTAGTTGTTATAGTGGATGCTAATGAGCCACTCAGCTGTTTCACAGCTGATCAGCTTGTTAAGTCTTGAAAAAACGACCCTGTTTCCAGGTCCAAGCGTCTGCTGCACTGGATCAGGCACTCATCCTTTTAACGTGCTGCATTGCTTCATCGCATGTTTTGCTAGACATGAGACCCCAAAAACTATTCAGCTGTCATGTTAGGCTTCTGTTGGTCTTTCATGTCTATCATAGTTTGTATGAACTCATCGTATGACCCACACACCAAATATTTAATGCTTACTCTCAGGTTAGTTAGGATCAGGACTTTTTCACAGCAAGTAATCCACAAACCGCACTGCAGCATACTGAAAGCTGTCCTTGTGTTGAGACTGGGGTTATCTCTGCCACGACTGCTCGGCTGAGGTTTTGTGCATCGTCTCCTGCTGTCATGTGATGGCATTTGTCTCTGCTGACACGGGAATCTCAGAATGTACTTTTATCGAGAGCAATTAAACTCTCCTCCAACATCATGCCTGCAATAATATATTTATGTTAGCCTGCTGATAGCTCTGTAAGTAACATGTCATCAAAACTTTGCTCTTTGATAAAGCTTAGGACTGGATCAGGTGACCCTGAACCTTTTCTGCATAAAAGCCTCGGCTGCTGGGTTTCCATGATGCACTGAGTGTTTCTTAGTGTTTCTTAGTGTGTTTATACACACTTTAAACATTTATAATTAAACTTGTTTTTACCTGTTGAAAGGGAGTTTTTCCTCCCCACTGTCACCAAAAGCTTCCTGATAGGAGGGCGTGTGATCGTTGGGCTTTTCTCTCAGTTATTGTAGGGTCTTTACCTTACTGTATAAGTGCCTTGACGCAAAAGTCTTTGTTACCATTTAAATAAAAGTGAATTCATTTAAAGTATGTGTGCTTAATATGTCTGGACATTAAACTACCATAGTACCTGAGGGAACAGCTGACTGATCGCTGAAGGTTGAATTGTCCCTTCTGCTTTTGCAAACTGAGCATTTGGACCCAGAAATGGTAAACAGTCACTCTTGAAAATGAGATTTAACTGCATTAATAAAGGTGAAATGTGGAAAAAAAGAATTAAAAATAATTTAGTAAAGTGAACTTTAAAGCACTTAATTCAAACATACTTCCAATGCTGATATACAAACACGATGTCATTAGTTACCAGGAACAGATGAACCAAAAGCAGGACACTGGCTCAACATAGTAAATTCAGCCTTTGTTAGACCAATAGCAAAAATTCAGGCAGATGAACAAAGGTGCAAACAACACAGACTAGGATAAATAAATCATAATTTAAAAGTGTCACAATAAGAAAACACAAGAGCAGGAATAATGAAAGAGTAAAGGGTTAACAGCAGGTGGAAAACAATCACAGAGGAGGTTAAAGGCACAAAGCAAATTGCTAATAGACACAAAAGAAAATTAACATTCAAAGTAAAAAGGAAGTAACCATAGACTGTGCATGATAACCACCATGTATTAACAAAGTGAGACACAAAGAACTGAAACTACTGCAGTGAATAAAAACGTGACAAGTAAACAGAACAACAAGAATAACCATAAAGCTAAAATACCCAGAAACTCACACACAAGAAACAAAAACACTTATAACTAAACAATAAAATCAAAAGAGGGACAGACCTCAAAAACATAAAAAGAATAAAAAGGAAATATAATCCAGAAGTGATAAATCATGAAGATCTCAGGTAATTTCAGATGAAAGAACTCAGGCTAACGCTGCTCTGAAACGAACACGTGAAGCATCAACGTATCAAACTAATATTCCGAACCACACTTTGTTTTTCTTCTCGTGAGAATGATCTAATTACTTGTGGGTGAAATCTGATGAAAAATTGAACTGAACTGTCTTACAGAAATGAATTAGAATTTTCTTTAGATCCTGTGTTGTCTCGATGTGTTTTGTCAGTGTACACTTAGCTTCACAGTGACATATGCTAAATGTAAAGTCCTGGTCTTCTGCTTTTTCCATTACTTATCAGCCATAAACATAGACAGGAGATATATAGCCTATTTAGTCTTTTGATTGGGACATCATCTATGCTTTGAGGAGACGTGTTCCCTGTCAGGGTGAGATACCTAAACTAATTGATCAACGGAAAGTGCACAGGATGAGAAAGAGCTTGTAAAGTCAAAGTAACTCTCTGTGAGTGGATGTGGTTGGGATTTAGAGGAGGCAGAGATGGGAGATGCTGTCTTTGATCTCTGATCAAGGCAATGTATTCATCAACTTCTGAAGGTGGTGCAGCACTCAAAAGTTTACTTCCCACTTCTGTTTGTGCTCTTCGATCATCCATCAACACAAGAACGTGCCTATATGAGGCTCATGCAGTATATTTATTTGATTCATGGTTTATGTCTCCCTTTGATGTCAGTGAATCCTAACAAACTGAATCAGCATCACTCAGACGGAGCTTTGTTTACATTTTTACTGTAAACTGGAATCAGTTAACTCCAAAAGTATATCCACACGTGCCAAGAAAGAACTCATTGTGGTCTCAGCCATTACATCCTGGTAATTAATCAAATAATTATTGCTATGCTGATAAGATCTTTATAGAGAGCTCTGACGACTACTGTGTGGTTGTGACTGACAATCCGCTCGTCCCTACCAGGACCCGCACAGGCTTTACAAACCACAAAACCAAAGTTTAATATAAAAGCAGAAAAACATTTATGTTGAAAATGCATCAACGCTGAATAGTGAATAATTGCAATAACTATACAACTAAAAAGAGTAAAGGTAATAGATCAAATGTTTCAGTTACACTTGCTAAGCATTTAATTTCTCTGGGGGCAGCCGCTCCTTTTGTGGACTTTTGTCGACACTATAACACACTTTGAATGACAGACCGCTCATTTTCATAATTAAGCAGAAATTGATTTAAAAAAAATGTAAAAACACAGAAATTTAGGAAATAAATAGATGGGTGGGCTGCAGAGGAGAACCCAGTACTGGCATACATAAACAGAGACATAAACTGAGACATAAACAGAGACATAAACAGAGACATAAACACTCAATATAAGTCAGATATTATGCAGAACATTTACAAATATTTACTAATCTTGCTGCATTTCATACCATGTTCATTTTTTACTGATATTTAATATTTCATTTGTTGCTGGCTTTTTATCATTATTATCATCTCAGTCTTACAAAAATGCAAACTGTCTTCTAAGCCTGATGTAGCATAAATAGCAATGAGCCCATGTGTGGGCCAGTCTGTAAGCTCTGACTGAGCTCTGAGTTCTGAGTTTTCCCCTGTGCTCCGTATTTTGTCCTGGCTCTGAATGTAGCAGATGGCACCAACAATGGGCTTTAAACCGACCCAAATGAAACCAGCAGGTAGTGTCACACCTTGTAACTTCCATCTTTATAAATACTGTCAGGTACACTCCTCCTTCAAACACCAGCTCTCCAGTCATAGTTTCCGGTGGCACTGCTGTTTGTGTCGTCTTCTTACAATTCAACAACTTTGCAGAAGCTGACAGGAATAAAAAGCTCCTCTTTGCTCATTTCCACCAGTCAAAAACATCAGTTAGCTGTTGTATCGAACACTTCCATCTCTTTTACAGAGAATCCCGTTATGATATAAAGGTGGATCGAGCGTATGTTTGAGCATAACTAATAATAATGTCAGTAAAATAACATGAGAGCTGCTTCGTTTCTTCATAGTATTTGGGATTTTTGTTTACTGCTGGTCCAAACTAACTGGACAAGGACAGAAAACCTTTCTTTCCCAATCTGAAGCAGCTGAGAGAACCCAGACAGGGTCATTGTCCCCATGTTGGTCACATCGCCTCTTGTGATCTGTCGTGGCCGATGTGTCTAACGAGGCAGCCGGCTGAGGGCAGACAGGTAAGAGGAGTGAGCAGCGTGACCAGGAGGCCGACTCCTGTCAAATTAATGTCCTCCACTACGAGCCGCTCGATAAACTTTCCCAACAGCACCTGATGAAGGATGTCTTCCTACTGTTCTCATCGATCTCCCGCTCCAATACAAAACTCATCTTGTTGTTCTAATGTGACACAGCTCAGCCCACCTCCTGGCATGCTCAACCAATCACAAATAGATTTCTGTTTCCATTTCCTGCCTTATATTTAAAACCATTTTTATATCGGATTTACTTATTATGAGTTTGCTTACTGTTGTTATTGCTTTATTTAGCTTATTTATCAGTGATGCTTTGTGCAACATTGTGCCAAGATTTATAGTGTG